GGGAAGGAAGGAATAACACTCAAAATCAAACCGAGGGGAAACTCTTGCCCTTTGACCAGCTTTACAGTACAAGTGCACATATAGGGAGAGAAAAAATCTCCAGCCAAACGGACTGGCACCAGCGCCCGGCAAAGTATTTACAAGCCTCCCGAGCAAAACGAGCTCTTCTCAAAACTTTACGGGCTGCACGTTCACCAGCACCGCCCCCCACCCAAAAAACAAAACAAAAACCCTTAAGTTTGGCAAAGCCTGGGGGTTGCGCTAAGATGACCTCCCATCCAACCTTCACTTGCTGCTTGGACTAGGTGAGGGCCCTTCCCGCATTGCTTCTCCAGGGCAAATGTGCCGGCGAGCTTGTGCTGGGAGCTGGGGGCAGCTGTTGGGAGCCCCTTTCCACCCTACCTAGCAGAAAATGTCTGTCAAAAAACAAAACAAACAAAAAAACAAAACGGGAAAAAGCCCCCTTACCCCTCCCCAAAAAACCCTCCCCAAAATAAAGCTTGCTAAGAAAAATGTTTCCAACTATTTAAGTTGGTCTAATAAAAGATTTCAGATTCACCCAAAGAATCATCTCCCCAAAATAAGACACACTGGACTCGATGCCCTCCGGAGCTCCCTCTCTCCCAGCCCGGCTTCTCCAGGATCCCGTAGGATTGGATTTCTGCAGGACAGGTTGGGACTGGAGACGCTAGGCTTTCTCTAGGACAGCGCTTCCCAAACTTATCCTCAGCACGGCCCTGTTTCCCCAGCGGGTCCCCCACCCCCGCGGCCCCACTGCGGGTCGAGCCGCCCAGTCGGGGATCCGCTGCTCCACGTGCCCCGAGCAGTCCGCAGCGCCGGTGCCTCGGTCCGAGCAGCGCCTAGAAGTCGCCGAGTTAAAAAAATAAAAAGGAGAGATGCACATGGATTTATTTCAACCCTCCCCCCCCCGCCCTTCAAAAGGAAAAGCCGGCGGCTTGCCACGGCAGGTGGAAGCAGAGCCCGGGGAAGGAGCCAGGTGCCGGAGGAGGGGGAGCCGTGCCGGCCCCCGCGCTCAGTCCGCGGGCGGCGCGGGCTCCGAGGTGCCCCGCCGCGGGTTGAGTCCGGCCGCCCGCCGCGGAGGCTCATTTGGTGTCG